CCCCTATCTTATAAAAGACACCAAACTGGCCCCTGGGGCTCACACAGGCACCTCTTGTCTGTGTGGCTCACTGTTGTCTTTGGCAATGTACCTCTAATAAAACTCCTGTCTATTCCCATACATTATCTGGTAAATTCTTTTACCAACCCGAGCATCACCATGTCACTGACCGGCTGCCCCACTGTGTCCCATAACAGAACTGTTCCTTAAACTAGGTTTGAGGAGTATGGTTACTTCATTGGCTATTGGTTCTATTTGAATAACTTCATTCTAGATCTCTGTCTGTGCTGCTGTATGTGTGTGTGTGCGTTGGGGGGACTTTGTTATGAAAATGATATCATTTTAAAGATGTTCATCTCTAAAATAGGAAATGCTGGAGGCATCAGTTAAGGAGTAGCAAAGGGGCTAGTAGCTAAAAAAGCTGAAGCTACTCAGGGCTTCAACAACATACATATATTTTGAAATCAACTAGTTCACTAAAGATATTTGGATCAAAGTTAACGATCAAGGCTTCTACAAAAGTTCTGAGGGGAAAACCATCAGATATGACCATCAACAATTACAGTGCAAGAAAAGAAATTAGATTCTTCTAGCAACTTGTTAGGAGCAAAAAAAAAAGAAAAGTGCCTTAACTGAGATCAACATGACCTCGCACAACGCAGTGAAGTTGAGGTTATAAGCAGAAACATACTGTCCTCTTCACAGTCCACTCAGTAGCTTTTGCTCTGGCTGCAAAATTGCTTTTAGTTGGATAGGAGGAATCCAGTCATGAATTGCTGAAAGATCTCCTCCAGGGTAAAATGGATGGATGCAGGCGGCCTATTTACAAGGACCACCATCTTGTAAACCTTTTACAGAAAAATTCTGGGAGAAATGAGATAGGAGTGGGAGGGCGGGAAGCATGACATTTGTTGAAAACCTACCATCAGTTATGGTGCAAGGCACTTTCGTGGTTAATACTGATTTGAACCCACAACATTCCGGTGTGGTAGAGGAAAAGCCCAGTTACAGAAGAAGAAACTGACAATTACAGAAATTTGGAGGCTTGTTCAGGGAAAGGAAAACGAAAGAACCCAATCCCATCAGTTCGGAAGTTGTACCTGGTGAAGCAGCACGTGAAGCAGCCAGGACCAGAAATGCTCCCCAAGTGTGACCAGTTAGAAATTAGCCAGAATCTGGCAGGAAGGTAATCAACACGGAAGGAGAAGCAGCAGCTAAAGGCACTTGCTGCCGAAACTGAGCAGTTCCTGGAAAGAGGCTGGGAAGCAGTTTTTCAGGGAACACTTCGGGACACGTTCAGCTGCTCCCTCCCACCCCAGGCCGACTTCGTCCCGGAGCAACAGAATGGAAGCTGCCCGCCGA